CAATGATACAAAAACACCAAACTTGTAACATTTCCAGGCCATCTTGCCAAATCGTACGCGCATGGGAAAAAAAATCCACCAACTCTAAAAATAGCCTGTACACCGATCGCCTCATGAATATTGTATAAAAAAAAAGTTGGTGTAACTTCCGGAACAGTAGCTCTGTGGTGATTGGTCAATGCGGTTCAACGAAGGGTACACGTACACACAAATACCTGCACAAATCGGAGTACTAGTATTGTGAAAAAGGCAGAACAGCGACACATGTAAAGTACATTAAATAAATAAGTAAATAAATAAATAAATAAATTCAACTTACTGTGTACAAAACATCGTTTCCTAATACATGTATTCGATGTATCTCAATCCGTGTTTCCAGATGATCAATCAGCGTTAGTCACATGACGAATAAACAATCAGAGGTACATTACTTGGGGTTTGCAACTCGCATAGTACTGTATGGTGACATCATGTCAAGATCCCATTCAAGTCTCTTCTCGTAGATAGCGAGACTGAGGCTACGACCTTCTGACATGACGCATATCAATGTTCAAGGTTTGTAATGAAAAAAATAAACTTTTCTTGTCACCATCATAGTGAAAAATGTAATACATCGAAAATGTACAGAAAATATAGTTCTCGTAATCCGTCATATCGTGGGCAGCTATTTTGATCCACCTGAACATCCCAGTATCCTAGTTACCTCGGGCATGCGCATTCGCAAAGTGGAACGCTTATGCGAGAGCGAGATTGTGACGGGATCTTGGTATCATGTCACCCATGGAACAATAAACCCCATGGAACTGGGTTTATAGTTCCATGTGTCACCGTAGTTACAAACCCCAAGCATGGAACTATAAACCCAGAACTATAGTTCCATGCCCCAAATAATGTACCTCTGATACAATACAGCATCTTGAATTTTCAAGGTGAATGTTCCGGCGAAGCACTCCACTATCAGAGGGAAGAATGTCCGAACGGAACAACACCGTGCAGGCGGACGATGACAATACAGTACGAGTATAAAGTCCAGGAATAAAGTTCAATTCAATGAAAATTCAAATAACTTTTAGAAATAAATATATAAATGTCAAAGTTATTAGTACTTTAAATCACATTCCGTCAATAGCGTGGCTGATTTTTGCAAATATTTACATATTTTAAATGATCAAACCTCGGGGGGGGGGGTATTCATAAGAAACTCTTTCATAGTAGCCGATTTCGCCAATCAGGCGACAACATAAATTTGACAGAGTTACCGCTGGCGGCGCTCTTTAAACATGAAACGAGTGAAATCCATTCCATTGACCAATGAGAGGCCACCTTTTATCACCATGACCTTATAACAAAAGCCAGGTTTAAAAATAGTTAAATAAACAAGGGTTTCCCCCATCAGATACTGTGACCGAGTATACTAGTATTTATTAGACCACAGTCCCTCTAGATAGAGGATAGAGGTACTGTGGTTGTCACCTAGAAACATAGCAACGTTGTTTTTGGTGAATATATAACATGTTCTGTTCCAATAAAGGATTTTGATATGCATAACAATTCCTTAATGAAACATTTCCTGTACTCTATAAAATTTAACAATGCCACTAGCCCAAGATAAACTTCCTGTTCAACACGTAGTTGTATGTTCGCGTCACTGTACGTCACGGTAAAAACACACTTTCGAACTTGACAATTTTTAAGTTCAGACCATTAAGCAAATAGATGGAAATACCAGTTGCATAACTCATGAAAATTGATGATTCGGTTGGTGACCGGAATAGCTGCATTTAGTGTTCTTTTCTTTGCAATATAAAATCATATCGATGCTGTGGACGGCGAAGGGTGACAAATTGTTTTGGTTCAACGGCTCTCAAAGCACGGGCAACTGACATTTCCTGATTTTTTGTTTTACTATTCTGACGTGTTCTGGGCTGTATATAATAGTCAGACACTGACAAGTAAGTAAGTACTAGTAAACAGTCCGGGACAAAATAGTGAAGCTAACGTCAATTTATAACTAAATGGGCCCTGTATACGAAGTTCGCAAAAAACATTCAGTCTTTAGAAGTCACTTAGTTTATTACTAGGACGTATTCTGCTGTTACATTTCCAACCGTTTTGCGATAGTATTTTCTAGAATGAAGGCAGCATTTACAGTTCATTCAAAGTTCAAAGTTGCGTTGGGATTACGTTGATGCAGTGTAACAACGTCGGCGTTGGCGATCTTTTTCCAGTGCGCAACAGCCAAAATAAAAAAGCATGATCATCTGAGCCAAAATAAAAAGCATAATCATCTGAACACTGCTATTACAAAACTGGTAGGAGATAATACATTTGGGGCAAAAGTATTCAAAAATCAGTTTTTAGCTGTTGCAATGGCAGTGGTGGGCCAGGATTTTTTTTTTCAATTAGTGACGGTACGACCTACCTGTGAAGTATGAACAAAATCAGCCGAGCCAAAAAAATCACAGAGGAGTTAAAAGCCGGTGCTGGTGAAGTTTCTCGGTAATAAAAAGAGATATCAAAAATTTAAATAGTTACTTTGTGCCCACACTCAAGCTGAGTAGAATGAGCTATGTCTAGGATGTTTTATCCCAAATTTGTAGAAGGAGATACATTTGGCTCGAAGCTATCAAAAAAACAAAATCATTTTTTTTCCGATTTTTCCTAATAACTAGGGTGAAAGTGTGACCTGCCATGTTTGAGAAAATCGGCCAAGCAAAAAAAATCACAGAAGAAATAATACGTGAAAACACTGGAAATCACCCCCCCACACACACACACACACAAAACGACAAAAGGGCAATCTAGCGAAGCGGATCGCCAATAATTAATATTCTTTTTTGTTAGTTTATCTTTAATTTTATTTATTAATATATTTTAACACATTACATCTAATTGGGGTGGAAATTGTTGGCAAGCTGAAACCTCTTGCGCAAATTTGTTATAGCTGTTTTGTAATAAGTGCCCCTGCCGCGATATAAAAATCGAAATTATATTTCACATTTGGAAATACATGAACTAACTTAATGTATTTTGCCAAGGAAATGCTTAAATAATAGTAAACATGGTTTTATAACTTGTTGTTTGAATAGTGCAAAGTTAATATAATTACCGCATGTGCATATTAATGAGCTAATTTGCATATTTTATAATTAATGTATGCGATTTTCAAATAACTTCATTCTAGGATTAACTGATATTTTTGCAATTTATAGAGGCATAATTTATGAGACTGAACTACAATTTTAGCAGCAAAGAACAAAAATTATCACATATTTATTATCTATCACAATAAAACAATAGCATATAGTTACATATAGTTACAATTATAACATTGCATAGCAGCTATCAGAATCAGAGTCTGAGATTATAGCAACTCGTTCACTTTTATTTGAGTCCCCTGTACATTTACAAGCAACTATGCAGGGAATGTTAGCTCTAGCACAAGAACATTCTCGCAGACAATGGGATTTCACACATTTGCAATATGTGGACTTTACAGTGCTAGGTTTACTCGGTTTTGTCATTACGGGAACTAGCTTTCCGCTCTCCACAAAACGGCCAAAGTTAATAACGGGTGGCAAGTTCATATCGTTCATACGTGCTCGTTTGTATATTAACAGCTGATATAATGCTCTTAATAAATGCTGGTAGAATGCATCTTCAGTTGGAGGCAATGCTCTCAATTCCCTATTTCTTGTTGCAAATAAGGGGGGAGGGGCAAGGGTTATTTTCGTTCAACATAATTGCAATATTTTTT